ATATATATATATATATATATATATATATATATATATATATATATATATATATATATATATATATTGATTTACAAGAATATCATGAAACAATTTTACAAGAAATATTATAAAACTTTATCGAATAGGAAGTTTACTATGTAGTAAGCATAAACTAAATTTTTTTTTATCTATTATTCTTGAGATTGTGAAATTTCAAAAATAACTTGATGAAATTTAGAAAGTAATTTGAACGGAATTTGATGTTTATGATGAATTTGTGATAGATTGGCGTATATATAAACTTACGAAATATTTAAAATAAGTAACATGTTCTTCAATGCAGTATATATTTTTCGGTGTGCAGGCCATCGATTGAGTTTTTGTTTAGTCTGGGTTATTTGAATTTGAACGAGTATAACATATATTACTCCTGTATTCATTTCCAGATGATCTCACCGAAGGCTAGGCTCGTGTTCGCTGTGGAGTTGGAAGGATCCGCCAGGAAACTGGTCACCGTTAGGTCAGCTCTTCAGGTAGCAAACAAGTTGTCTCACACGATCGAGATCAAGATGGAGACATCATTGAATCAATTTGGATGTAAGTTTGATTGTTTTTCGCGATTCTGCTTGTAGGACGGACGATCAATCACAGCTCGATCAACATTAAATTTTTACTTTTTCAGATTTAATACTAACGTCGGCCAATATTGGGAAAATGCAACTGCCGGCGCAGTCTGTGACGTCCTTACCTCTGTCGCATATCGGAGTGCAGATGTGTTTCAAACCACTCATTCCAAATTGCCAGTTCCAATATTGCACGGAATCGGTAAACTGGACAGTAGTAAAAAAACCGATGGAAGTGATGGAAAACTATATCACATGTCGAACCAATCAAAACAACATATTCAGGTGTGATACGGCCTTCTCTTCGACGAAATTGACAAAAGTTAATCGTCATATGCTTTTCCGTAGAATGTGCGTGGCGGTAAGACGAAACAATTATCCTGTCGACGGTGCGCAAGTTTTGCCGGGGCATACAATCACGGTGATGGCTCCCATAACAATGACAAATCTGTTGCCATACGAGTTGACGTACGAGGCGAGTGCAGAAGGCGGTAGAATTTCGCCTGGTTGCAGCGCGGATTTGCACTGTTCAAATCTGGAAGAGCAACTGGAGATTAACATTCAGCTGGATGGTTATCCAGGATCTGGAACGGTATTTATCGTATTTGACAGTATTGCTGTTTAATCGTGTTGTATCTTTTTATCGGACACTCATTTTGTCTCGTTAATAATTGGACGTACGTTGAATATTTCAGATAATATTACCACCAAACAGTTGCTCCTTCACCGCCCGTCTCAAACTACTGGACTCCGCTAGCAGAATACTCCACTTGCAAGCAGCTGTGATTGTCGAGAAGGGTTCAGCTATACAGATTAACATCACCGCGCCTTACTGGATCATAAATAAAACCGGTCTACCATTAGTATTCAGACAAGAAGGGGTTGGTATCGAAGCAGCGGGGCAATTTGAGGAACACGAGAAGGCGAAAATGATTGCGCCGTTGCTGTTTTCGTTCAGTGACGAGGAAGCCAGTAGAACCGTGTCAGTGAGAGTCGGTACCGAGGTTCATTCTCACGGAATACCGCAGTGGTCTCAACATTTTTATTTACAGCCTGGTGTCCACGTGAGTATATTTGTAAAAAATGTAGCTTTTGTCTAACTATCTGAATTACATTATATCAAATATCTATATTAATGAACACGCACACACACGTGTGTGTGTATATATAAATTGCATCTATGTCTTTTATATATTATTTAATTGATTAACAATTAATTATAATATACCTCTACTAATGCCAGCTATATATTCCGCAGGTTCATCGCCTAAGAATTAGTCTACGCGACGGGAGACCCGATATAGTTTACTTGATTAGTGTGGCCATTCGCGCTGCAAGAGGAAGATACGGAGCTACCACAGTTGTCACGCTGTCGCCGAGATACCAGTTTCACAACAAATCGTCTTATACGTTGCAGCTAGCCCAGAAATGTTTCACGACGACTGTGGTAAGCCGAGCGATGCATCGAATTCGATAATATCCGACAGAAGCGGTTTTATCTTTCAATGTAATCACACTTTCAGTCTCATCCAGATGCTCAGGCGACGTACATCACGATTATGCCTGACTGTCACATGCCGTTTCATTGGCCTCGACTGGACAAAGACCTGTTGCTTTGCGTCAGGATTATTGACGTTCGGGATTGCATGTGGTCAGGCGGTATAAAATTGGACAGTAATTATTCCCTGACTGTCAATGTCAGGGATGTAACGGGGAAGATGCATTTTCTGCGAGTGGACGTGGTGTTGCAGGAAACCACATATTTTATCGTGTTCACCGACGCTGATACTATGCCACCGCCAATAAGAGTGGACAATTTCTCAGCGGTTCCTTTAATCATAAATCAGGTATATTTATGCGCATTGTGTATGGTAACGCACTCCACAATTTCAGCAATAATCTTTTTATATTGTATTGGGAGTACAAATTAGTTCGGTCCGTTTTTTTGTGGCCAAAAATGCATTTATTTCAGAACAAAATGAATGAACAGATTAATCAAAGTATTGTTCATTGCTGGCTACTACTTTTTCCCACCTCTCAGTCAATTTTCGAATTCTATCTCGAAAAAATGTCTCGTCTTTTGAGGCGATCCAGGTTAGGAGCCAATTTTCGATTTCTGTGAAAGAAGTGAACCGGTGACCTGCCAAATCGTGCTGCATCCGTCGGAACAACCAGTAAGGAGCAATGTCCGGCGAATATGGCGGGTGCGGTAAAATATCCCACTTGAGCGTTTTCAAATAATTTTTTGCGACATGAGGCCGACCGTTATCATGCAGAAGAATAACTTTGTCATGTCTTTGCTCGTATTCCGGCCGTTTTTCTCGTAATGCACGGCTCAAACGAATCAACTCCCAATGATTCTGCAAACTTCTCTTGCGTTTGACTCGGATCTTCATCGAGTAATGCCTCCAATTCTTTGTCTTCGAATTTTTTTGGCTGTCGAGAGCTTGTCTACAACGCTGAAATTCTTGAAACGTCGAAACCATTCCCTACATGATTTATCAGTTGGAGCATTATCACCATAAACTTCTACAAGCATTCAATGCGCTTCAGCTGCATTTTTCTTCCAATTAAAGCAGAAAACTAAAACCTCCCGCAAATGCTGAATAGTTAACACAAAATTTGACATATTTAACACAGTAAAAAACAAGGGTTTTGTATGAAACTCAAAGCGATATAAACTGAATATTATTGACAGATGTCTAACCTCCCTGAAACCACCGAAAGATCAGCTGTCACTATGAAACATTCATAACAGCCAAAGCCATCTTTTGAAAACGGACCGAACTAATTTGTACTCCCAATATATAAGAATTTTTTCGCGTGCTGTGCTGGCTGTCTAATTTCATTTATAAAAATCTGCAGATTGGAGTTCCCGATGGTCTACAGTGGACCGTGAGACCACATTCATCGGTACCTTATGCTCTGGATGAACCTATACAAACTGCTGCTTTAGCGTTGACAGCACCGGGCGGTGCGACAGCTTCTTACGACTTGAACGTACTCGGAGAGAACAGGGGTCTAACTTATGAGAACTTTATCTACATTGCATTCACAGGTAACGCAAAGTGAATGAGATAGAAGATGTTTTGCTGAATAACGCGCAACGCTACGTTACGATGCAACGCTCAACATTCATTGTCGCGTGATCTTACCGTGCGACAGGTACCTTCAAAACCGATACCGATCTTGGGACAGGTGAAAACGATTTGGATCCACTCGACATGGAAACCCAGAGATTGGTCTTGGAAGCTGGCCCGGGTGGTTGGGTCGCCCTGCGTAGAAAACAATACGGCGCTAGGTCACAACTTTGGAGAATGACCGGCGATGGACAGTTGCAACACGAAGGTATTATCGTTCTCGACACAGTATATGAACATAGATTATCACAAGACGGCAAAATTAAGCAATAGTTCAGTTTTCTTCTTTTCTTTTTGCGCATCTTGCTTGTGTGAACAATTATAATGTAACTCTCACGTGGTATATAGGCACCAGTCCGCCGAGAGACAAGCATTCCAAGGATGTAAACACGATATACGTTTTGGACATTGCGGGCACCGCTCCGCAACCTTTCACGTATTGCGCACTCGCACTGAGAAAGCCGGATCCTAGACGAAGATCGACGCAAACTTGGCGATTCACCGACGATGGCCGACTGTGTTGTGTGCACAAAAATATGTGCGTTCAGTCGAAAGACGGCTTTATGGGACTATACGAAGGTTGGAACTTTACTTTCACTTGATCGCATTTGAGATGCTGATTTGCTTATGTAAATCAAGTTTATCGCGAACGTTGTGAATTACTTTCCGTCACGCTATTCATCATTGGACACTCTCTATTATCTTTTGTTGCTTTAGATAAGTCCAACATATCATTTGATGATACATGACTTGCGAAATGCGCGTGTAACTTGATTATCGTTTTAAACGCGTGTGTGATGTAATTTTAATAATGCCTGTGCCTGTAAATGCAAAACGTAAAATATTGCGAGATAAGTGCGCGTTTAATGCAGTAATCAGGATTATTTGTATTTTTGAAGCGATTTTTTAAGGCTACACTCATGTTCTTCCTATTGATTCTCCCACTAATTCGTCGACCGTGTGATTGGATGCTGTGCTCAAGCTCGAAACTTTATAAGACTTATGGAGCTTTCTCTCTAATTTTGTGTGAAAAATTCTTATTATATATTATTATTATTATTATTATTATTATTATTATTATTATTATTTCATTTCTGTATATTATATCATATTCTCCCATCTATACGTTACACTATGTATTTATATTGTTACAATTACAACGATAGAAATTGGTCTTAATAAGAAATTTTCAAAAATTAGAAATAGCCCTACAGGTTTTACAAAGTTCACATTTGTGATGCTGAGCATAACGATCGTCTAATCACATGCTTGACAGATCAGCAAGGGAATCAATAGGATGAAAGCAGACGTAACTTTAAAAAATCTCGAAAGTGCAAATAATTTCGAGTACTGGTCTAACAAAGTGATATCGGTGACAGACGAATAACTTCGATGCTTGCCTCATGACATGATGTTTTACAGAACGGAGGTTTAGTTACTTCTCGCGCGATTATCTATACAACTTTTATCGAGATTCTTCTATTTTTCTTCTGTTAGTTCTTGCGTTCGCTACTCTTATCTAGAGCGATCTAAATTGATCATGAATGTTGCAGGCGGCAGTGTTGCCCGTTGGCAAATGTGTACGTATAGTTTCAAAGTACACACTAAAATCGGCGATTTTATAAGAGCTTAACCATAAGTATCACGCGTTGATATATTCGCTTGTTTTGCCTATTTTTTCTCTATTTTTTTCTTGCAAGCGCTTTCCGCATATCTTCCTTCTAAGAATGTTGAAGTGCGATACAGAGGAGAGAGATAGAGAAAAAGAGAAAGAGAGAGAGAGAGAGAGAGAGAGAGAGAGAGAGAGAGAGAGAGAGAATCATCATCGTAAAGAATATTATTGTTGCAACGTCATGGTACTACGACGTGTGATGCATTTGTAAATTTTTCGAATCTGTATCTTAACTTCACATCTTCCTTACCGCCTCGTTGCGCGCGCGTTTGTTTTGCTTAAATTGAAAGAAGCCCACCTATTTTTTAGGGAGCGAAGCTGTGTTGGGTCCAGAAACGCCTGGTAATCTACCGCCTGTCGAGCAACGAGTGGGTAGACAAAAGTTACGGCCAGGTTCTGGATTCTTGACGATTAGAGTGACCACAGACGGTCCGACTCGAGTCCTGCAAGCTCTGGACATCAAAGAAAGAGTATGCATTGACAAAATTGTTCCATACGGAGAGAAAAATGGTTGATTTAACTAGAATTACTAGTTATTTTTCACTGCAACTCTATTTTTTAGTTGTTCTAGCACAAAAATGGTAGTAGTAACATGTATGTAATATTATTATCGCTATATAATATTATAGTAGAATTTAATAAACAAAAATATATATAAAAAAATATATAGTTTCGTGAACTATAATTTGCAGTAACTATTTCTCTGTGTGATTATAGTTATAAATATCAAACATTTTTTTCTCAATGTATAAAATTGTTATCCTTAACATTTCGTAGTAAAATTTAATCAAAACCATCCCAAACAGAGCACAGATCTCCACAGGACATCCTAAAGACGTTCTAAGAATGTCGCCAGGACATCTCCTAGAGATCTTGTGCTGTCTGTGACAGGTCTGTTTTCTCTGGACTGTAATTTATAATAATTATTTCTCTATGTGATTGTAATTACAAATACGACATTGTCTCAGTTTTTTTCTTTTTCTCAGTACGTCAAAAAGGAGGGATGTCAATAAGGCCGTTTTTTGGCCCACATCAGAATCGCTCTAAACTGTGATATTTTCTTCCTACCGGTGTAACTCACAACCTCATAGAACCGTTTGCTGTCCGAGCAATTAGAGGTTGCGAACGGGCAACTTAAAATCTCCAAAATCAGCGAGGTTTTTCACATAGTGGTAGTGTTCGTTTCATTTCAGCATGTTATTGTTGAGCTTCCATCACCATATTTTCTCAAAAATTACTAGAGTATGTGCTGGTTTAAATACGAAAGGGAGCTCATCTGACCTTTATGCATTCAACATAAAATCAAGCCTGGTATTTTGAACGGATTGCCATATCACTGAACAATCATGCAATAGCATCCCTTGCGATGAATCAGACAATACTACTATAAGCCCAAACTTGATTTTAAGGGATTAGATCATCTTATCAGTGCAATATACACTCAAGAAATCTGCTATTTACTGCTCAGTGGGCATAAACTATGTTTCGTCATTTGGACATTCTCAAGATGTCTGATATGCGACTCGAAGATGTTTCAAGGATGTTTTATGTTGCAAAGACTTCTTTATGACTTCTTACGTTTTTGATATAACAGACATCTGTAAGTCATCTTGAGGATGGAAATAAGATATCTTGAGAATATTTCTAGGATTTCTCGTAGATGAATTTATCTCAATGTTCATGAAATATTTCGAGAATGTCCAGAGGATGTTTATATGCTTTTTTGCCCGCTAGGTAATCATATAGCGATGGACTGTAACTCCATTATCATGAACATAGATATTCTCATAATTTAATTCCAACTTACTGGAAGTAAAACTCAGGTTACAACATCTAGGAATTGACAGAAAAGTCGACTCAGTGTGTGGTAAGTTTGCTAATTCTGATGTCGAACATCAGGAGTCAGAAAAGAGGAGCATGGCATTGTGGCTGAGCATTTTTACATTCTAAGACGGAATGTCTTCCAGCTCAACAGAGAGCTAATCCCTTCGAGCATTCAGGAGGACAACTTACGCTCCAAGAAGGATATCTACTAGAAGACCAGACACACGCCACAGAAGGAGAACCAACGACGGCATAGGAATTATCCAATTCATTCTGAGTGTAAATTTTATATCTGCGGAAGGACGGGTTTGTGGAATGGAGAAGAATGGAGCTTCCCTCGCATAGCTGCTGATCGTTGATTGGCATGCCCGCTACTTTGGAAGGAGAATGTTTTATTTATATCGAGAATATATATATTCATGATAATGGAGTTACAGTACATCGCTATATGATTACCTAGCGGGCAGAAAAACATATAAACATCCTCTGGACGTTCCTGAAATATTTCATGGACATTGAGATAGCTTCATCTATGAGAAATTCTAGAAATATTCCCAAGATATCTTATTTCTATCCTCATGATGACTTGCAGACATCTGTTATACCAAAAAGAAGTCATAAAGAAGTCTTTGCAACATGAAACATCCTTGAAACGTTTTCGAGACGCATATCAGACATCTTGAGAATGTCCAAATGACGAAACATGATTTGTGCCCACTGAGCAGTAAATAGCAGATTTCTTAAGTGTATATTGCACTGATAAGATGATCTAATCCCTCTTAAAATCAAGTTTAGGTTTATAGTACCAAGTTGGGTTTATAGTAGTGTCGTCTGATTCATCGCAAGAAATGCTATTGCATTGTTACAGTAATACGGCAATCCGTTCAAAATACCAGGCTTGATTTTAGGTTGAATGCATGAAGATCAGATGAGCTCCCTTTTGTTTAAAGCAGCACATACTCTAATTTTAAAATATACTCTAGTTTTTAAAATATGGTGATGGAAGCTCAACAATGACATGCTGAAATTAGACAGACACTACCACCATGTGAAAAACCCCATTGATTTTTGAGATTTCAAGTTGCCCGTTTGCAATCTCTAATTGCTCGGACAGCAAACGGTTCTAGGAGATTGTGAGCTACATCGGTAGGAAGAAAATACCACAGTTTGGAATGATTCTGACGAGGGCTAAAAAACGGCCTTATTGACCCCTCCTTTGATGAAAAATCTCAGAGTAAGAAAAATTTCAGTAATAATGGATAGATGAAATCAATGATTGAAATCAATAGCATGGATTTGTTATTGCTTCAGCATAAGATGTTCGCCCTACTCGAGGAACGCGACTGGTCACACATTGCAGTGAGTCATCGACCCACGCAGATCGATGCCGACATCAAGAAACTGGATTCGCGTGAATTAAATCTCAAACTAGATCTGCCAGCCGGTCTTGGATTGTCCATTGTGTCGCAGAGACCGGTGGAGGAATTGTTGTTCGCACGACTAGCCGAGATCTCTCTGAATCTTATACGAACTCCTTTGAGCACCACGTTGGATCTGAGCGTTGCCGATGTGCAGATTGACAATCAGCTGTTCGAGGCGCAGTGTACATCGGTTTTGTTCGTAACACGACCGTCTCGTACAGACGACGAGAGACCCGCTTTGCACATCGCAGCAGAGAAGCAGCGATCGAAGAATCAAAATGCCGAGATATACAAGCATGTTATAGTCAGTATCAAGCCTCTATGCGTACATCTGGAAGAGAAATTTATTTTGAAATTGGCGGCGTTTCTCGGAATCGGTAAGTCTGAATTGGAAGTGCCGGTCGACGAGAACGATTTCAAGGCACAGAGATTTATCTCCGAGGTGTCTGCCGCACATGCCAAAAGATATTACTTTGGCGCGCTAAAACTCGTCCCTAATCAGGTACGTGTGCCAACAATTTCATATTTCACTTTTGCTATTCATCTTGTTCTATTGTATATAATTCTACCTATTAATTATATCGATCTATCTTATTCGTATCATGCGCGATCATTTCAGGTAAAACTTAGCGTACTCACCACTACCAAGTTGCCGCAACATTTGCAGGCTGTGAAGAGAAAATTGGGCTTGACCTTGATTAATTTTGAGAACGCAACTATCGAGCTGCAGCCGTTCACCAAGAAACATCCTTTCGAGAGTAGTCAATTCTTGGTGCATTCTATCGTAAAACATTATAAAGATGTACGGCAATGCACTCAAAATATTTAATTTTTGTGATACGTATGATACATGGATCCCTCAATGTTACAGGAGTTGAAATGGCAAGCTGCAATTATTTTGGGTTCCGTGGATTTCTTGGGGAATCCTTTCGGATTCGTGAACGACGTGACGGAAGGTGTTTCTGGTCTCATTTACGAAGGCAGCGTGAAAACTTTGGTGAAGAACGTCACCCACGGTATTTCCAATTCGGCAGCGAAAGTAACGGAATCTTTGTCGGACGGATTAGGAAGAGTGATCATGGACGAGAGGCACGAAGAGGCCAGACAGAGGATTCGAGCCAACACCACGGGTAGTAGCGATCATTTAGTAGCTGGTCTAAAGGGTTTCGGCTTTGGTCTATTAGGTGGTGTCACCAGCATATTTAAGCAGACCTACGACGGAGCGGCCAATGAAGGTTTTCCGGTATGTAACGCTATAGACTATCTGTTTTATACGATCCGATGGATAATTCTAAAAAAAAGTGTACCTTCGACACAAGTATCGCGCGAATAAAGTTGATTAATATTGCCAAATGTGTAGGGCTTCTTTGCCGGTTTCGGGAAAGGTGTAGTCGGTACGATAACGAAACCCGTTGTTGGTGTCCTGGACCTGGCGACAGAGACAGCTAGTGCTGTACGAGAAACGAGTAGGAGGTATAATATATTGTAATATTCTAATTTGATTATACATATATAGATGATAACTAGAGTACATATTGTTCATTAAGAGAAAAAAAAATATTTCTACTCCCTCTATAAATTTTGTAATGGAATATCGCATTGATTCGAATCAGTCAAAGAGTCAATTTTACACTTTTACAACTGTGGTCTCAGATTTTTCTGAACTCCGATTAATATTTCTCACACAGTGCTAATCGCGCTATACCAAAACGCGATCGACCGCCACGTGTCGTCAGTGGTTCCACTGGATTGTTACCTCCATATAATCGCCAGCAGGCCGAAGGCCAGGAGTTTTTGTACAGTATCAACGATCGCGATTACACCGAACTTTTCGTAGCGTACGAATGTTTACGCAGCGGCACGGAAAATCTCAGGGTGCTCGTGTCAAACGAAAGGATACGCGTCATCTCCGGCGGCACGAAAGCAGTGGTAACGGAAGTCAGTCTGGCGAATCTCCTGTGCTGCAAACCAATGCAGAAAATGGAAAGTAACGGCGTCACTTTGTATTACATAGAGATGATATCTCTACACGATAGATCCGATATTACTGCCACAGTGAGTTCAGACGGTCATGAATTGCTAAGACGGCCCAAGGTGCGATGCGACAATGAAGAGGTGGCGAAACGCGTGAGTATACAAATAAATAAGCAGCATTGTAGATATATACATTGCGAGCGTAATTATTCCTTCTTGTCGTAGCCTTAGTTGAAAACATTATCACAATTAATTGTTTGTCGTTACTACCGTAGGTATCGCGACAGATCAGTTATGCCAAAGGGATGTACGAGGAACGCAGTTTGACGTTGTCATCGTCGGATAATATGTTGGACGACGTACAATACTACAAGTAATGACGCGATACCGATCGCACGTCGAGAATTTAATCTCATTTCTGACACGTTTATTTGGCGTACTAGTCAGGATTTCAAACTTTATTTTGCGATACACTACCGGTAATGCCTTAGTTACAGCCCTTAACGTTAAGTTACGAAAAGACTGATACGATATACGATAAATACGAAATATTATAACTCTCCGTCGGCACACAAGGTGTGAGTCGATCGTCGAGCGTAATCGTATTATGATTTCGCGTAGTTTTGTAATTGTGGCACGGAAACTTGCACAGTATGGAAACTTTTGATATGGATCGATACAAATGTAAAAACGAAAAAACATAGATATAGGAAATAATAGAAAAAGATTTTTTAAGGATATACATACCTATATACATGCTGCGATTACTTAGCTTTACGCACACACGGTTCTGTATATGTACAGAGTATCGTAGAATCACTCTTTCCAATATAATCCTATATACAGAGATGTTTTCCTCGATAAAAATTCAATCGAGAAGATTATCAAACAAGCGCCTAATTTGTAACCACCTTCTTCTAATTTGACGTTTGGATAAATTCTATTACAGTAAAATCACGATACTATTAGCGATTCATTATGATTATATTTTTTAATTAATGCGATTCATCATGATTCAATTTTTTGATTAATTAATCGTCGTCGATTAATAATCGTCGAATATAGATATCATTTTTCTTCATGATTATTTTGACATCATTTATTGGGTGCTTTTGAGATATTCTGTACATATGTTTATGTACATATGTATGAAAGTCAATTTACTATCCATTTCTGAAAAAATATAATCACGTAGCAAGATATCAGAAAAGCAATTAAACCAAAGCTTTGCATAGGAATAACAGAAAATGTTTATTTTTTATGCTTACTCTCTTACTAACACACATTGTTTTTACTTTGGCGATTCGCATTTTTCGTTTTATAGTAGTTCATCATGCTGTTTTGTACAAAAGCGACGCAAGTTCCCTTATATATACATGGCGTGTAACAATAATGTGTAAACTGTACAAATAGATCAAGTCTAGAGAATTAGGTATATTTAAGTACTTTTGTAAAGCTGGCGTATGATGCGAAAATAACATGTGTTTGTAATATATTGATATATCGTTAAGCAAATTAATAAATGTTACGTTCGTAAAAATAGGACGTAATATGAAAAATCTGCATGTCATATTATTATATACAATATGTGTTATTTTTTTAAATACTCAGCTGCCACATGTGATAAGATTAAATCGTAAAGAAAATCTTACTTACGTTTTCGGATTTAGCATAAAAAATGTATGCATACTAAAAAATGCGTAAATATATAATAATAAATATTATGTTTACTAGCAAACAGAATAATGAAATTGTTTCAGGATTGACAAAAGTGGACACGATCAATTATGAGAAATAAATAAAACTCAGCAAACTCTAATTTTGGCGAAAATAGTAATAATGAGATGATTCGGGAAGTATTTTACAGCTTTAAGTTTCTCTAGTTTGCACATATATTTTTATGTATAAAGTTTACGTTTATTTTTGCGAAGCTACTTTTGATTTAGATCCGTTATTTTTTCAAAAATAATAAAAATAATTCTGAAACTTCCGCTACGAGCCGCCACCGTACTTGTCTACCATTTGAGATCGTGATTATAGACCTGTTCTTTTTCACTGCACTGCTGGTGCGATAAGTTAAAGCGAGATACATATATGTTTTCTCACTTTAACTTATTGTACTAATGCAGTAGTACAGCGAAAAAGAACAAGCCTAATGTCTTAAGATGCGAATACGGCTCTGTGATTGGTTCATGACATCTTAAAACAGTACTGAAGATAATCTTAAATATAAGATCTGATTATAAATACCGGCCTATGATCGTGGCACTTTCGCTTTTCAAGTAGTACTTCTCAACGGCGGACTAACAATTGCTCTATTCTTTTTAGCTGCACTGCTGAACTAGTGCAATAAGTTAAAGTGAGAGAAAGTTTATTTGTTTCACTTTAACTTATTGCACTAGTTCAGTAGTGCAGCTAAAAGGAACAGACCAATTCTTTACTCTATTACGATAGGTAGGCGAGATTCAACGGGTTATAACTTCGGCAAAAATAACGCTATAGAGACTGCTCGAAAAGCATTTTAAAGCTTGAAAGCTCTCTACTTTCTAAATAAATTAAATCCGTGATGTTACAATCGCTTATTACTAAGAGATATTGAGTTAAATGAATAATAGCGACCATTTAGTTGTCAATTTTCTTTTTCAAGCAGCTTAGACCTGTTATTTTTGTAAATTAATTCGAAAGTCTCCACTATGAGCCAACGCTGTACTTACTTAAAAATCGAAATCGTAATATGACTCAATAATAAATCGACGACATTTCTATTTCTCATGTAGTACGACTTAATGGAAAATCAGAGATTTATTTTTAAATAATACGCGTGTAACGATATATCTCTATCAGGGTTGCAAATAAGAACTAATATTTCCTTCGGCAAATTAAATAAAGAAAATATAACATGATCTAACAACAAAACAAAATGATTTGTATCTTGTTTTATTTATCCGCAGTTTTCTACTATATCACATGTAAAGTCCCAACAATAAAAATATGTTTATAACGTTGTAACATTGCAAACGGATTATATGTCGTAGTATGTACATTATTTATAAATATTTATATAAAAATATGGGTTGCGAAATATTGCATTGAATTTGCTACATTATCATCTACCATTGGGTAACTGTCTCGTCATCTTCTCTTTCGACGAAACTGTTTTCCGAATATCGGTGTTCACAGTGATCATTATTATTTATTTAGTCGCGTTGCTTGATACGAATGCTACGGTATAATTTCCCATTTAACTAACATATTTCTCGATGTGCTTATATACTCGGGACAGTTTGAAGTAACAAGTAAATACTTTGGTATTCTTTCTGTCAGGGTAACGCGAAAATCAATTTTATAATACGCTACGTATAAAAGGAAAACACGAAATGGAAAATACTAATGGTCCAAGGCACTTTTACATAATCACAAAACAGTTGCGTTCACCTGATTATTCGTCCTAACTTGCATATAACACAGCGCTGCTATCTCAAGTTATTTCTGAAAGTTTCTTTTACGGAATTACCGCGAAATAAATCAGCCAACGCAATCATTTTTGAAAAAAAAAATCTTTTAATAATTCGTTCCAGCTTTAGGCAATTTCGCGGCCTGTTAATCGTTAGTCGCAGATTCGCCTTACGAAAAGATCTTGTAAAACGTGCAAGTATATCTTTTCCATACTTTCGTTTTCGAAACTCGTGTAAAACGTAGCAAAAATCAGTCGCGTTGAATACATTCTAGATACGATGCGCATCATTGTGAGAAGACGCAGCAAAAAAAGAAAGCACAGAAGTAATGCGTTTTTGAAAACTTGTTTTTGCCAACTTATATAAACTCGAATTCGTTCCGCGTAATTATGTATTTTCATCGGGCGAGAGGATCCAACGAGATAATATTAATTATAAGTGTATACGTATTATATAGCCTCGATATTCGAAACTCTACAAGAAGAGAAATCACAATTGTCATCAGAGAGTTGTTACTTTGTGCTACTTAAGAAAGAGAGATTACTTATCGATTTACAGAAAAGAACAAAATGCATTCTACAATACAAATAAAATTGAAATCCTTTCATCTGGATCTCACGCGATTTCATTCCTGTACGATTGACATAACGATATATTTGTCCTTCGTAAACGCTGCATATAAATAACTATGGTTTATCTAATATTCTATAACTTAACGGGGGATACTACGCGCAAATATCTACAGTATGTATAAACACCATTGTTGTATTGTACACTGTTGTTCGCGCGGCGTCTACATCCGGTAAAAGTCAAGACGAGAATCGTCAAGACGAGAATCCGGAACACGTTTTCTCTAGCATTCCTTTCGCCTCTTTCGCTCCGGGCCACACAATACAAAATGGCAGTATTTGTAATAAAAAGTGACGTAACAAACAAAAATGAATAATGGGGATATTTATTTCTAATACTGCTGCCAAGTTTGTCAAACACGAAATCTAACTTGAAGATAAGCAATGGAAAAGCACTACGACACATAATGCTCCTTATACAAGTCTTGGCAACTATATATATATATATGTATATATATATATAGTCTTATTTAGTTATCTCAACATATAGTATAATGACTAATGTGTTGTTATAGCGTGAAAGATCTAGATTGATACATTTTGTTCGAATTGATGGAGTGCTTATTGTCCAAATTAGATTTTGTATTTGTATCGGAGTGTACGTTCCGTCGAAGGCAAATTTTACGCGTGTATAACACGGCGTACCACAAGTCTCTAAAGATTGATATTACGTTCCAGAAAGACTCGAAAAACTGAAACTGTACGGATCGTTCCCGAGAATCGAAAAACGTTGAAACGTCACTTTCGATCTCCCTGAGATCGTAATCATATTGACTTCTGCTTGTCATGATAACATTTCCGGCAAGTGTAGAAATTCGCTCATCTACAGGCAATGATTTTCATTTTATGTTTTGAGGAAAATATTTTATCTCTGCTATTGTTTCTCTGATAAGCCAGCTCTTAAAGTCAGATTTTCTAGTTCTGCGTAATACCCGAAATTATATATAAAATCGATATAAATTATCAAATATAAGAAACGACACGAGAACCAAAGCCTTTTGAAGTATTAGCTCGGTTTTGAGTATACATTCTTTTAAAATACGGCAATACACTTACCTTCCTTTTTCTATTCCTTTTCGTTCGTTTCTATCGCTCGCTCTCTCGCTTTCTCACACACACTCTCTTTCTCTCTCTCTCTCTTTCTCTCTCTCGTTAAACACACAAGCATACAGATTGTCTCTAATACGAGACATACACGCTATAGCACTACAGCAATTGGTATGTAACTTTTGCAATCAAATACAAAAGTATGAAGACTTATAGTGCACCTATGATTATCGTGAAAATTTTGAATCCTCGTGATAAAAAAGAAAATAAAAAAAAAAAGAAGTAAAAATTCGAGATTAATTTTTAAACACCTTAATTGCTCGTAAACACCTTAGCTCGTTCGTTCCGATTGGCTAAATAACATGGAGGGAATGAATGTTTTCAGGCAGAAATGGCCAAGTGGACTCGAGCGTCGTGTCATCAGTGTAAATCTCCTCGTATCATCACTGATCTTATTGGTAAAACATGTTGTTGTTGTTTCTGTAGATGTCAATGTTGAGTCTCGTTCACAGTAATTACACTCTCCAACTCCCTTTTCTCGCTCTTCTCGTCGTCCTTATCTGGATTGTCCCACTTCTGCCTCTGACCAGAGCTGAAGACCGCGTAGAATGTCGCACACATGATATAAACGCCAGCACAGATCATAAATACGGTCCTCCATTTCGCTTGCGTTGGCTGAAAACAATGACAGGTCACCACGTAAATGTCAGCCGTTACCATAGAAGGAGGAGGGCATACTAGGTTCGTTACTAATTGAAATTATTTCAATCAGATAAGGAAACGGATTTTATGTTATGAAGGAACAAAACTATATAATTACCGTTCCCGTGATAATATATCCAGCTGTGATAGGCGCGAGTAGACCTGCGAGATTAGCCAGACAATTGGTGAAGGACATTAAAACCCCGGCGAATCTTGGCGAGATGTCGAGATGATTGACTTTAAAACCAGAGTATATACCGCCGTTCAGGCCGACTCCGATTGTCAAAAGGGTTACTGTCAACCAGCGGCTGCAACCGGTATATGAGGCAGCTGCCAATGCCACGGCCGGTGAATACTGGCCGATGCTGTTGATAATTTTACGGGTGCTGGTATGATTGAATCTTCCCGACGAAATCATCCAATCAGCGATATGGGAGATCACCATGGAAAAGATCCACATGGCTAAGTATGGAAGTGCCGAAACTGAGCCGTTCTGAAAGAGCGGTGAGAAAGAGATACGATTAAGTTTAGACCAATATACATTGGAAGAAATCGTTGGATAGTCATTATTGTCATTTTACTCACCGATTTGATATCAAAGTGAAGAATCTGCTTCATATACGTCGGAAGCTCAGTCATCAGGGTCTCGTACCCGTAATTGTGACCCATGTGCGCTATTAAGATGGCCCAGAACGGCAACGAGGTTACAATCGACTTCCACGGGACTGGTGGCGACTGCAAAGAGAACACATCAGAGCTTGATTCATTTAGCAATATTATAATAGGAGATGGATATAAGGAGACAAAAGCTGACGAGTAGAAATACTTACAGATGCACCGGCGCTGCCCCACAGGGCGCTCACAATGTATTTCTTTTCGTCTTCTGCAATGTGCGGATCTTTTTCGGGATCCTCGTGGACAAACATCAGAAAGAATATGCACCACAAAGTGCCGACAGTTCCGAACACGTAAAAGATCGACGGCCAACCGCCTGCGAATCCGTATTCGGACAGTACCCCGCTCAACGGCATGGAGATTATCGTACCAAATTGTGCACCTGTATACGACGAGAGAAGGAAAAGAAAACGAAGGGTACGATTAGTGATCGTCATCGCACCGCCGGGTTTCCCCGGACTTTCCTCTTGCTTTATCTATTTCCTTTTTACCAACGAAACAAAAACCTAGTGAAAGTGATTAACAGAACAGAAGATGACTCGATAAATTCGAAAAGGTCCGGCCCACGGTCCAAATCCACGGTCGCAGCAAGAAGTGCACACGGTGTGACTCGATGCATCGTGAAACGATCCAGAAGAGGAGGACTCTCACACGCGGCAACACTCTCGACTCGACACACGCGACACAGATGCTACTATGAAAAGGGAAGATCGCATTGAACGAGCTTACCGGCATAGACGAAGGCACCCATCCTACTGCGTTCGTTAGGTGGTATCCATTTGGCCAGCATGGCGTGCGTGCAAGGCACAATAGGACCCTGCAATAGGGATAATCCATTCCTAGGGGGAGGGAAATACACCCATACAATCAAAAAGCGTTCACACACAACGGATCAGTAATCCTTTAAAATTAAGACTAACGCTATCTTAAACTTATCAATTAATTTATATGTCTCTTGGCACTCGAATATTCGCGATACGCGCTGATATTTTACTGTTTATTAGTCGTGTAACTTTCCGTATGGAGGGAAGGGAGTTTTGGCAATGCGACGTAAGCGCGAAAATCTTTTAACCAAGTCTAAATATATATATATATATATATATATACCTTATCACAGTTTTCCTTCAATATCAACTTGTAAACTTGATACTTACGAGGGAATGAGCAAAACTTACTTGTTCGCACAAATCACGTATATATTTGGGTAACAGATAACCGATCCCGAAACATCACACATTCCCGTCAGCTCTCTCGCTCAATCAGACTATCTACTAGTCTCAATCAGACTATGTCGTGTTACTAAAGTAATGGTAGATCACAGTGATGTCACTTACCTCTCCCAAACCCTGGATAAAGCGCACGACCACCAACCAATAGTAACCAAAGTGCGCAGACACTGGCACTAACAGTCCGAAGAGCGAGTTGATCAGCATGCCGATTCCAAGGAAATACTTGGAACCATAGCGCTTTGCGAGTATACCGAACGGTATCTGCGTGATCACGTAGCCGTAGAAGAACGCGCTCAGAAGGTAACCTTGCTCCTTGCTGCACCACGAGAACTCGCCGTCGCTCTGTATCGACAAGAGAAAACTCTTTAGCCTCCTCATCTTTCGCACGTTTCTTTCACGGTCAGAGATCTCAGAGGTAGAATTTCGCGTCTAATACTCACGTTTTTAACAGTCACGGTCTCGTTTACGTTATACTCTGGGCACTCGTTCGTCACCTCCTCATGTTTGTCGATGCACGCTGTGTGATTGACCATCGCGACGACAGCCACAGACATATTGGTCCTCATTACGTAAGCGTTCGCCATACCGAGGAACAACATAAAAGTCACAAAGTGACGTCTCCCAAAAAAGCCTAAAAAAAAGAAAGAAAAACGTACAGTTATCTCTCGTGTTGCACACAAGGATAAAAAACAATAAAGCTCTATGCGAATCTACAGTGACGTAATACATCCGAAACTCGCACTCTGTAATCTCGATCTCAGGACAAAGATCGAGCCTCGAAGTTTCCGCAGAAATAATTTCAAGGAAGATTATTACTCTTGACATAGTTGACGTAAGAACTACGCGTAATTTCATGTCGAGCTCAATTGAGATTTGCGGGTGAATAAACTTGCATCCTCTATATCTCTCTCTCTCTCTCTCTCTCTCTCTCTCTCTCTCTCTCTCTCTCTGTCTCTCGCTTGGCGAGAAACTTCAACTGAGAATAATCGCTTACAGAATTTGTTATCATAATCGTAAAAAGTTTCGGGATATCTTGTACATTACTTTGTGTAACGTTACACTCTGTCTCGATGCCGAAAAATGCATAAGCGTTTCTTAAACGCGATTTGTTGTAACCGAGGACAGTAAATTGATAGTAACGTTGTTAATTAGTGCTCTCCAAATATCGGTCTGTGTGAGAACGTATCCTGTATTAGTTCCCAACCTGAATATCAGCAGGTGCTCTGCCAAATTTTCACGCAAATAACCGAAGGACGAACGACGGGACCAATGCCGAGGTGAGGGTTACGCCACGAGAAATGCGATGTGATGCTTAATCGAGTTGCGAACTATCAACAAAAAGCTGACAGGCATTACAGGATACGCGACTTGTTGAAAGAAGCCACTTGTTTTAGCCGCTACTATTTAAATATTACTTGATATCATCTAATACGATAAATGCTACCGCATATACAGTCGAGCCGATCCTCCCCTTTAACATATGTACCTCTTTAACATATGTATTCGAACAATCCTCAGTACTCTATCATTGGATTTAATTATAGTTTATGAATTTCTTTCTTTCTTCAGTTTGACTTTCTTCAGTTTGACTTTCTTCAGTTCGTAAGAGTTGACATTTCATGACCTTTAAATTACAAAACAGACTACGCTGCCAACTTTGACGTACTAGTATCTAGTATTAAATAATTAATTAATTAATTTGAAATCTCGAAAGAAAAAGTGCAACGTGATTTTGTGCTTCGTGCTAATCAAGTTCATCGTGTTAATCAAGTATCTAACTTTGAGAAATTTGTCACGCCCACTCTCAATCGAAGAGGAAACAATCGAGAGGATGAGTCATCAGTTTGTAATCGGTGTGTGTGCGCACTACGTAACGGCGTCGCGTAATGCTTGGCCGCGCTCATCGACGACAATTATCAGGAATTCGTCCGGACTGTGGCAATGTACAAAGGACAAAGTGATATCGTGGATATCGACGATCTCGCATTTGCCGAGTCAGTGCTTTAAATAGACGGAATCCGCAGGAGTTCGCTAATAATCTACGTCAAGAGGAAGCATATACGAGCAAGGTCGACGGAAAGAAAGAGAGAAAGAAAGAGAAAGAGAGAGAGAGAGAGAGAGAGAGAGAGAGAGAGAGAGAAGTTGAATTGGTCGTCGAAAAAATGCGTCGACAGTGTGTCGCAAAAGTCTTTCTTTGAGCACATGTCAGCAATTGTCCGGACGATCGGACGAAGAGATTGTAAATATAACGTCGAGAAACGAGACGTTTCCGTGTATTCAAGTGTCGTGGAAAGTTTGCATGATAGGAGAAGAGCTTTTATATATGGGGAGGATACATATCGATGGTCTCGCGTACTTTTCCACGAATTTAATCAAGAATTTCCACAAAAAAGTCAGTCGGGGATGATGGAATATACCGTAAAAACGCCGTTTTTCTGTTCTCGCGATATTTCTACCCGTTTATTTGCGTTGACAATTCACGTGTTACATCTTTCGCGTTATCGAAATCGTATCATTTTATCATACCTCCTGATGGTTTTGCATAAAGTTTCGAACATAATATCTTCACCTATCTTTATGAGATATGCACTTAAAATAATCAACGTGCATTTGGCTTTCGCGACTGTATAGTATAACTTTTGAGATTTTGGTTATAAAAAAAAGATTCATGTTAAAAAAAAATTCTGTCAAAACGTCCAGATACTACATATGTATTACTGTATACGATCCATTTTACCGCGGATACTCGCTTCTTAACTTTTCTCGCCTAGACGATGCAACTGATCGATGTTTGAATAAATCAAAAGTCAACCGTGTTATCTAATCAATCGTCTATTAAAATGTCCGCGATCTAAATCAAGAATAATCAACGGTCGCGACGAAGCGCCGACGTTAGCGAAGCGTAACAACTTGTTTCTCACTTCAAAGGGACCGACATTACATCGCGACGTTTGCTATAGTTCGGCGGTCTAACACATGAGTCACCTGAGCACATACATATGTATACAGCGTATGCTGTTAACGTCAATTTCACACAATGTATGTTAACGCGAACTTTGCACAGTTTCGTCAGCAACTACTTCCTCGAAGCTCTACGTAGTAGAGCTTCTCGCCAGTATGCGAGAAAAATGAACTTGATGAAAAATCTGGCAGCCGATTTTCCTCAGCAATCATTCGTATGCGCGGCTCGCTCGATTGCCGAGATCTCTTGAGGTTTGTATCGGTCCTCTGATTCGTGATCTGCTGCGATTTGCGATTTTAACACTTATTAAGACATATGTATGTAAATTTCACCGAACCCGGTGTGAAATGTTTGAAATTTTTGACAACTCGAGAAAAATTAATATTATTAACCCTCTGCTGACAATATTAAGTTGCGGAACATATCCAGCAACGTGTATTTGGGGTTGGATCCGATCCCAAATACAATTGTCAGTAGAAGGTTAATATCTAGTTAGCAGAGAAAGGCGATTTTCCGTGCTACACGTGTACGGTACTTACATTGTCGGAGCTTCGTTGTATTACGTTAACAATTCAATTACGTCACAGAACAAACTTCTTTTTCGCCGTTCTTCCCTCCCCAGTCGATGTTACAAAACTCCTTCTCGCGACTGATTGCGCGTACGTGCTTCCCTTATCGTGTTTAGATTAGCACCGGCGCGCTTCTGAATCGCCGTCGACGAAAGAGATGAAGCGAGAGAGCGAATAAAGAGCAAACAGGGGAAAAAACAAGATAGGCGAGAGAGAAAGAAAGAAAGAGAGACAGGAGGGAGAGAGAGAGAGAGAGAGAGAGAGAAAAAGAAGTAGAAAAACGCTCGATTCAATTAGCGTTCTCTAGGGATAAATTTCGACGCCTACGTTCTCTCGCTCGGACTTATTAACGATATCGACTTTGGCCAATTGACATCGGACGACATGCCAATTCAAAGCACCAGAACCGGTCTTCTCCTTTCAGCTGCGTAACCCCTTGTGTTCAATTCATCATCTCCCTCCTTCTCATTCAATCCTCTCGAAAATCACACGTGCATCCGATAATACTTGACTCTGTCATGACGGAAAACTATTTGCGATTTCGCGCAATGCTCGTGAAAAACATATTTCCCCATTGCTGTTACTTTAAACCGACATCACATACCTCGGTGACAAAACTTGACGGTAACAATTCCGTCAACATAAATTTACGACGAAACAACGTTTACACGCGCGACAAGAGCGCGACGAGCATGTTGGATTAACACCGTCCGATAAATACTTGGCGTGATACAATGCGAGAAAACTCGCAAGCGGAAAAAGTCCGCAAAATTGTCGGTGTTATTAAACGAGAAATCCGCGCGAGAGATCACGATAGTAAACAATAATTAGCATTCGATACGACATGCAAGCGGGATGAGTTCTCGCTGCCTCTGTTTTCTCACTTGATCACGCCGAAATCCGAGGGCGAATCATTGATAAATGACCGTCGAGACCAGAGCGAGGCACGTTGCCTGATAAGTGAGAACGAAGGCCAAGCCGTGGGTTTATTGGCCGAGATCCAGTCGCGTTTTATCCGTGACTGCACCGCCGAATGCACTCGGCGCTTGTTGCGCATTTCACAAGCGCGTTCCCGAGCGCGCCGGGATCGTACTCTACACCTAGTATCAGTCGTTTCAAAATCGACGACCGGTAATATCAGATCTTTTACTGGAAAGGATACCTCGAGATCCGTGGGCGTAGCGGAAGACACGCGGTTCGGTTCGACGCGAAAGAAAATCGCGAGTAATAATAAAAAAATTTTTGCAGGCGAGTTTCAGACGAATCTCGACGAGACCCTTGACATTTATGCACGTTGATAAATGCGCGCAGATAACGCTCGCCATCTGTGCCGCAATTATCGCAAGTACACGTATTTTTTCCCTTTTTTTCTCCTCTTAACGATCGCTCACACAAAACGATAATTCACTGATAAAGTGGTCGGCTCGACCGCTATCTGTGCGTTATGCAACGTGCGCCCTTCAATCGCCGCGTAAAAAATCGCTGTGAATGGGACGAATGCGCACGCAATCGCGCGAGATCCCGGAGATGCGTGAATTATATAATTGGTCGATGTGTATAAATTTACACTTGTAACGGAGCAGGCTACTTCGTTACAGTAGGCTGTAAAACTTGGCGAATTCTTTATCTTCGGCGTGATCGAAGAATCCTATAATATGCCCGCTCTAGCCTGAGCATTCGAGGAACGTTTAATGGCACGTCGTAAGACTGTCTCGCCACAAGATTCCACGGCGCCGATGGAGAGAAGAGCGGCGTCTCACGACAATCGAACCATATATGCAACGAGAATAGACACGGATTATTCGATATTGTTAGCCTGAGGTCTATTCTGGCGCGTAACCCAACTCTCTTATATGTCATTTTCATATTAAGGCGCGTCGCGAGTTTTCTTCTAGATTTCGTAACGCGACGCGCCAGCACATGAGTTTCTGCATAACTTGTCGCGCACTTGGATAATGACGGTGATGCACTCGGAGAACGTGCAGTGTCAGCTCGCGAACACTACACGAGACGAATACGAAAAGCTACCACGACGACACAATGTGCATGCACATATGTATACACAATCTAAACAAAAGCCGCCAAAAGGAGAAAAGTTTACGCGAGTTACGTACAAGCGAATTTATGTGACGCGAGGCGACAATTTGTTTTCTCGGTAGCGGCATCTGCGAAATTCTATATTATAGTTATAAGAAAATACTAATTATTCGATCAAGTATCGTTGCTCTTACTACGTGAGAATATACGCGCCTACGTGAGTATCGACGACATATAATATCGTTCGTGCAAAAGACAACAATGTTTTCCATCTAATCTACCGTGACGTAGGTCATATCGCGCAGGTTGAATCGTATTAATTTGCATAAGGTTTGGAAAATCGCAACATGACCAATGCCATTGTATCAGGCTCGGCGAAGTTTTTCAGATTGTCGCTCGGTTTCGCAACCGAGTTATCCGAACTAATGACGTCGCTAAGAGCCAACAATCGCGAGGATTAGCGTCCGTCAATCGGTCGTTGTGTACGAGTTTCGCACACATGGCCAAGCAGGCGCTTCTAAGCCGGCCGTCCTCGGACGCCTACGGTGGTGTGGTCGTCACCAGCCGCTGAGCACGTGGTCGGTTCTGGTGGAAATAGCTCCGACATACCGCCGGTGAAACGTGTATTTGTGTGTATGTGCACGTCAGCGGTGTCTCATTGTCGCGAAATATACAGAGAGGGACGCCGAAAGAGAGTCACAGAGGGGGAGAATCGAGGCGAGGCGAGACGAGGCGAGACGAGACGAAACGCGACAAGATGAGACGAGGCGAGTTGAAGTAGCGTAGAATAGAGCAGAGCAGAGCAGAGGAGAGGAGAGGAGAGGAGAGAAGGTGAGAAGAGGTAAGACGAGGTGAGGTGAGATGAAGTGAACGAGTCCGCTGGAGAGGCTAACCATGAGGATCGGCAGGGAGGACACAAGTCTCGTGCACGTGAACGCGTCTGACGATCTCGCTCGTGACATGCATGATACACGATCGTTTCGCACACCACTACGCACCGCGTGTGCTACAGCAGCCGCCGTTGCAGCGAGATTCGAAAAAAAAAAAAAAGAAAAAAAGAAAACTTGCGAGGAGGAGGTATTCAGACCGTGGCTCAGTTCCTCGCAAACAATTTCGTCAATGAGAGACCGCGAGCGTTGCCATGTTGTTTCAGGAAGATGATTACTGCGAGATACGAAAATCGTACGATGATGTTGTACGATCCAAGATAAATGTTTCTTGGATGCAAAAGTAACGTGATGATAACAATGACGCTTATAAAATAAGATAGCAACTATTGATACTCGCGATAACTCGCGAAACACAACATAAATGTTGGTTTCGCTCGCTGTTTTTTTTTCTTTTTTTTTTCAAAATAAATTTATTTAAAGTCTGGTTCGTAATAAAAATTTGAATAGGCGAATAAGTCTCGAGAGTGACGTTTGAGCATGTCGAATTCGAAATTCTTACGTGCGGTAAAATGATCGGTCATATATACTTAGTATCGGGGGTGTGTAAGCAAACAAGATATACTTTGCGCATCCCTAGCAATGCAGACGAGCGTGAAATGCATCTGCATGCCGCACACACGCCGACGCGACTGTTACGCGAGCGACGAAGTGTACCTCAGAATACAGAGAGTATACTTTGTCAAAGGCCCTTGATGTACAATAATTATGAAAAATATGTTATTCAGAGACGAGATAACGACATGTTGACAGCGATACTAAGTGTCACACTCGGGAAGAACGGTTCGTTAAAGGTCTATTTATCAGTTGTAGAAGGGAGATATTGAAAGTTCAACACCGGGAAAAGAATATTGACAGACGAGAATATTGATAACGCTTGCTACTGATGAAATTGTGTATCATTATAACGCACAAAAGCAATATGAGAAAATAAGTTAAAATATCACTAGAAATCATAGAAAGCCCCCTTCCACAGAAATTTTTAAGAAAAGTAATTATATCTCAAACAGTTTATAAAGAGCCAGAAATAATCGTCGAATATCTCAAGGAGATCTTAAAGAATCTTAAACCTTGTAATCGAGTGATCTTATTTGTTTTCATTGAGTATCTCGCTCAATTTTTCTATCATTGTTAGCACAATCATTTGTCATTCGTTGTATATTGTGCATACTTGCTTGCATCTTCGGTGCAAAATATCGAAGCAATTGGCCATTGCATTTAACAGACAATAATGAACATCATGTGAAAAAAGGCAGGCGTCTGATTTTCAAACGAAATATCATCGACTCGAACATTTGTAAAGAGATATCCTCCGTGCACGCCAAATGTGCGGCGCGCTGTACGGTCACTATTTTCGCGATAACGGCTAAATACACAAGTCATTCGGCGGCCTTGGCGCGTATCGCGAGAAAAGCGCAATGGAGAGTTTTGTGTGTGTATGTGTGTGCGTGCGTGCGTGTGTGTGTGTGCGCGCGCGCGCACGCATTCGAAAAAATGGCCGCTGTTCTGATTTTTATTATTATTATTAATTTCATGACGAACGTTTCCGTTCGCGCGCAAATAGATTACGCGAGAGCAGTCGTCCACGCGGAAGAGCAGACGTTTCACGTTATCCGCGTTTAATCCAGATTGCGGCCCGCTTTTGCGATGCGTCATCGCAACGGTGAATGTACACACATATACACACCACGTCTCGTCTCATATTTTTCCATTATTCCATTATTCCATGATGCTGATAACTATTTAAGGTTTTCGTGGTAACCTGACCCTCTTTCCCTGATAGTATCGTAGATAAATATCACAGAAAAATATTATATTTCCACCGGATATTTTGACGTTATCGTTCTCCGTCTATTCGACATTCATATACTTATTCTACATTTCTATCGATAATTATTTATAGAGTCACGCGCGTTGCTTATTAATAATGGCCTTGATCATCAAATTTCCCGAGTTTATCGCTCGCTGTCGTAATAAGCGAACCGCCGTTATCTCCTATCGAATAATTGCAAAGTCGCTGGTTGCAGTAGTTTCGCCGAACTAATTTTCCGTGGAAAGTCCAGAAAGGAAATAAAATTGTCATGCTTACATTTTTTACTACAGTGCAACTATAAATCTTGTCGTCGCTGAAGATAATTGTGCGTGGCACTTTTACCTGCTCGAGAGAACAAACGATGAACTGAGTGCGGTAGTTTTGAAGCTGGCATTGTTCCGTACGAATATGAACGACACGAAACGAACGACATGAACAACAATTCACGTAAATTGCGATGTGCGATTAAAGCGTTTGTGCAAACATAAGATCGTTTCCTTGAGTTTGCTTGTCATTCAACTCTTATTCGAGGATTCGACGTCCATGTACGTTTGCTTTTGTAACTCTAAACAATGTAGCGAAATTTGTGTTCAAGGTGACACGTTTAGGTATAAATTCCAGCTATTCTGTTTCCGAGCAAGTTGCTTAGTGGTAACAAGGATTATTTACTTAGCTCGTCAGACGGATATATATATATATATATATATATATATTTGTATGGATATATATATAGACACACACACATACACTTGACGAAACAGACCACTGCTGAGTCTTCAAATAAAATTCTCGTTGCGACGAGCAATCTTAATTTAACGAACAATAATTTTGAGATGGACGAATACTTTGAAAAGAGAACATTGACTCTGTATTTATTCGCAATGTATGAGGGTTAGGAATTCGCAAATTTTACTCGGAAAGACGCATATAGACGACAATAAAAGACGACAATAAAAGTGAAAACAGCTGATCATGCCTGTTACAATCGCGTAAATACACCAGAGAGTCGAGTCAGTACTATATCGCGACTTTTGGACATCGCGAGCACTTCACAAATAGGACGAAAGACGTCACTGCGAGAATATATAAAAGAGAATTTATAAAAGATTTTCTACACACAGAAAAGTATCATTCTACTGCGGGGAAAACGATTACTCAGTTTGCTCTAGTTCTTTTAAATAATGCCTGTCTTCAACAAGGAATATTTTTTAATAATAGTCTTGAAATATATTCGTGACAAATTTAAGAAAAGCTCATTACTATATAAATAAAAGAAGAATTTTTTTTTTTTTTTTTACAAGAATATTGTAAAACTTTTGTTTCAATATACTTGATTGAAATGTTAAACTTACTAAAAAAATTCATAATGTATTTTGAACAAATTTCTCATAATGTATTTTTGAACAAATTTCTCGTAGAAGGTAAATCGAGGGTAAATACAAAATAAAAGACAGACAATTTCCCACGAAATCAGCCGGTTTCGAGAAAAGCTTATCGAAGCTCGCGATTCAATGACGACAATTTAGCTCGTAATTATCGCTCGGAAAGTCACATCTTGCGGCATATTCGTCGAGAAAAAGAGTGAACGAAAAGAACTGAAAATCTCGAAATACACTCGAAAGACGCGCGTTTCGCGCCAAGGCAAAACGCAGCAGCGGCTCGAGCGACGAGCACGTGGTCGATGTATGCGCGCTCGCGCTCACGCGCGATCGCCATTGGTAATTCGCCTCTCGCGTTATACCGCACTGTTTCCGCGATGTGAGAATCGCCGTGGCAACCGGAAGAAATGACTTGGATACGCTCGGCTCGTTCGCAATATGTCTACATCCGTCCAAATATGTCAGCCGAGTACGTGTGTGCACACGTACGTACGCGGCAGAATGTTGGGTAAAATGCATGTCGTCGGACTGAATGAGACGAAAATACACGATCGCAAAATATTTCAAAATTCAGTCTCTCTTTTTCTCTTTCTCTCCCGATGTCATGGCGCATTTCTCGCAGACTATTCTATTCGTGTATATCGATGTCAACGACGACAAAATCGCAAGCGACTTGCCGCGACGATCCAGAGAGATCTCACGTCCCTCCCCTCGCGAGGAGGGAGAACCAGTTTCAAGAGGCCGGAGTCGAACACTCGGTGAGAGGCGGCCACGACGAGGGAGGAAGAAGTCGAAATTCTCTGGTTTGCGGTATCTTATGACGAGTTCGCGAGCTATTTCAAGCTAGTGAACTCGGGAGAGGCTGATAAAATAGCGCGCGGAGCCATACCTTTTCGCGCGGGTCGATCCGCCTCGTCGAGCCCGGGTTGCTCCCACACCAGCACGTGGCCATTCGTCCGTTCCCTGCTCTCGCTGATTCTACTGCCGCTCATCGCGCACTCGATATCGAACTCTGCTCGACAAAAACGACGAGACTCTGTCGCGTACACGCGCGGACTGTCCGCTCACACTCGCGCGCGCCGGTTTTCGCTCGCCGAAAAGCGAGAGCGCGTTCTTTTTTTACACCGGTCGGACTACGACGACGACGATGAAGACGACGATGACGATGACGACGGCGGCGGCGGCGACGACAGCGGCGGCGGCAGCAGCAGCAGCAGCAGCAGCAGCAGCAGCAGCAGCAGCAGCAGCAGCAACGACGGTGACGACGACGTCGGGGTAGGCGGTGCACGAGGAAACGGCGGTGACAACGGCGGGCGACATTCGCGGGCAAAAGTGAACGACGAAGATGACGAGGTTAAGCTATCGCGAGTACACCGATACGTCACGTACTAATGAAACGGACAACTAACGCAAACGTAACTCGACCGACTACTCTTCGTGCACGCCGATAACGACTTTGCGGGCGGCCGAGCGAGCGAGCGAGCGCGCGGCGCCGGTTGAACGCGCGCGGCGCCATCTGAGTTCCAACGCGCCAATAGGATCGTAGCGCGGCAAAAGTCACGTGCGGCCACGGGGAATTCAAATGTTACCGAGAACTTTCAAGGAGGATTTGGCAAAATTGACTGACCGATTCTGCTCGTAAACCACTCAGTCATACGTTTCACGAATGTTTCTGGGCTTTCAGTTTTATGAGTATTCGACCCGCGGTATTTCTCTTCGATAATGTTTCGTCTCTGTGTCGATTAGTCGGAGATTGTACGTAACGGAAAGATCTCGGGTAAATTGTTTCTGTCAGACTCCGTCTCAACGAATTGCACATGTGGACGTCGTGAAACCATATGATTCACTCCCGACCTTCGAGCTCGAAAGTCGAGCGGATTACCGCCAATGTCGGACACGTCGCATGATACACATCTCGCTCGTGAATCAAAACAACTTCAAATTCTGAAGCAACATGCGCCTGGAGAACTGGCACACTTTCAATACGCTATTTCTATCTTGCCTAAAGATATGTTTTTAACTTGCGTATCGGGAAATCTGTCGTGCGCTTTTTCGAAGAAAAACTGAAGAAATCGTGCGATTTGAGGAATCAATCGAATCACTCGTATATGAGAAATATATGTCGGTTTAGCAGGAAGATTTTTTTTCTTTGCATACAAATTCTTTCCTGTTACCGCATGGTTTTTCGCAGAAAATCGCGCGCAATAAACGAACGATTTAAGGATGACGTAAACGAGGAGAGGAAAAGCTCACGATAAATATCTCATTGATATATTCGAGTACTAAGTTGCTATAATCTTACAAAAAAGAAAAAAAAAAAATATATATATATACACACAAATGTGTTGTGATCACACAATACTATCGTAGTGTCTTTCGGTTTCGTTGTTGAAAGCAACGATTACGTCAGATATCGTAACGAGAAAGAACCTGACTCACCACATAGATAACATCATTGTATTCACTTAATTGAATTCTCGGATGCCGCCTACCTAAGGAGATTCCATTCATCTTAAGAAGCATCAAAACAAATTACACGGAATGATAAAGCACTTTTATCGAATCAACAAAATTATTGTCATTCCGCTTAAAGTAGTAAAATTGTTATATTTGGACAAATCAATCGAAATAGAAATATCGTTTGCTCAAAATGCGAGTCATGCTGAATTGTGCAATTATTAAAGTGCGAAATTTTCACACTTTTAATTGTGCTTCCTCGTTCTTCTCCGTTCTCGCAAGCACAGAAAGTAATGAGACACGACGAATTCTACATAAATTATTCTTGCAAGTGATCTGTTGAGGGAAACACGATCGTGACGTCACTGAGCGTGTTGAACTTACCAGGAAAACGCAGTCGATCACGTTTAACGCGACAACAAACGTCAAGGATTGTCGCACGCAATTTTGCACGTGACTTTATTCGGGATGAGTCGCTGCGGAAGAGAACGGAAGAGAACAGGCGCCGGCGAAACCGATTGCAAAGTAGCCGATACATCGCGCGGGGCTCTTGGTACGTCGAAACCGATATCGGGACTATTAATAACCCGTCCGCGTGACTTTATTTCCGACTGTCATCACACGGCAGCGACGAAACAAATGCGCACTCCCCAACATCGGAGTGCACCTGTGTGCACTTATGCATCTTGGAAAAATCGTGCTCGAGGCTGTCAACAGGTCGATCGATGTTTGCCGATACATCAACGACGAAAATACGAACCTATATTGATAATTCATCACGATTGACATTACGTTTCGTAAACGTATGACGTGTGTTTTCTCTCGTTTTAATTATGCAAACGAAGATATCTTCGTTTGGAGATACTGTTATCTGCGATATCGATAACGACACACATCACGTTTATCATGGAAAACGTGTAAATATTAATTATGATAATCAATGTATATACGTCACTTGTCGAGAGTTTCTCTCGAAATGTTTCTCTCAACAGACTTTTCCGTTTAAGAGATAATAACGCCGTGCATGTTTCGGAAGTAATTCGGTGAGTAAGTCGATAAAAATCCATTAGCATAACTAAATTTTTTGTTATCTGGAAATCAGACGAAGAGAACAGAAAGATTTCTATAGGAGGTTTCTATTCAGCCCCTTAATCATCCCATTTGAACCGAATACAACTGAATGTATACTTAGATTAATATTTCCTGTCATAGTAACAGATATATTACTTTTCGTCTAGTCTCCCTTCACTTGCACCAATTGAAATATTCTTTTCTCGTGTAAAAGCTCCGCGCGAAAAAATATAAAATAAACGCAAAACGATCGAAGAGAACGTGAAATTTTCCACGCTAAAGAAATTGCCGTAGATATGACGGTCAAATGTCCATGCGTAGCTTCGTTTCGTTGCGACGGAGAGTTGATTTGAAGCTCGTACAAGCTGCTCGTACGTACGTGAATCGCAGTCGTCGCGAACCGGCTGCCTATAATTGATTTGATTGCTACATATTGCGGCAAGCGCGTTCAAAGCGATTGGCGCGCAAATAATATAATTCGTCGTAAATTAGAGGAGAAAGATGAAGTCGCCGATCATTGGAACAGAGAAGACGGGATGAGAAGATGGTTATACGTTTCAATTACTAATCAACGTTAAGTAATTTACGTTAAGCCGCGAGTCAAACATTAATTCATGACAACGGCGTTCAGTTAACGCTGTGAGCCTAACAATACATAAGCACGACAAAAACTTTCAAAAAAAAGAATACGAAAAAAGGAACCCTGGCGAAAGAAAAAGGTATTCTTCTCAAGTCTAATATATTCCCACTATATTCTTGCAGAGATGATGAAAAATGTATTGAATGTTGTTAGACATACCTTTTTCTTCAGGTAAACCTAGACAGCACAAAAACTTCAAAGAATGTTCTGAGACGTTCTTAGAATATATGAATGTCCTTAGAATATCCTTAGAACGTTCTTTGAAGATTTATGTTGTACATAACACAACATGTGTATTGAATGTTGTTAGACATACCGTACCTTTTTTTTCAGGCAAACCTAGACAGCACAAAAACTTCAAAGAATGTTCTGAGACGTTCTTAGAATGTATGAATGTCCTTAGAACATCCTTAGAATGTTCTTTGAAGATTTATGTTGTACATAACACAACATGTGTATTGAATGTTGTTAGACACACCGTACCTTTTTCTTCAGGCAAACCTAGACAGCACAAAAACTTCAGAGAATGTTCTGGGACGTTCTTAGAATGTATGAATGTCCTTAGAACATCCTTAGAATGTTCTTTGAAGATTTATGTTGTATGGGAAGGAGCCTTGCACCGTGAATGCGAAAAAGCAATCGAAGGAAAAAACGATTACTTGACGACCGGCGCCTGCCAACGACTCCCTGACAGTCGTAATCGGAGGACCGTGCGAAGCCGTGCGCATTGTGCAATCGATGACTCGTTGTTCGGGAGCGTGACGTTGCATATTTTCAGCCGCTCGTGAATCGCATACCGCGCGCGGGATCGTCTAATTTCCACGTGCGTGCGGCGAATTGCGTACGAGCTGTTCGCGCGACAAGTGTCGCGGGCAGGCGCAAGATCGCGTGTTGCACACGCAGGTGTCGACTGATTGAGGACGATTAACTAACGCGCGTCACGGTTCTCACAAATACGTTTTATCAAATACGTCAGGTTTTCATTGACTCTATGTCATCGTGCGTATTATGTTTGCTTGCTCGCGCGCTTTTAAAACCACTCGAAAAACTCGGTTTCAATCCTCAAAGATTCTACGACGGTAAATCCTTCTGCGATACGTAAAAATGTATGACGTTGGTGAAACGTCGCAGATAGCGACAGCGACTACCGAGTCGATGGTTTACTTTCATTGAAACAACAATAAATATGTTTAATCTCACATCTCTACACATGTAGAAATCTTTTTGCAACAAAGGCAGATTAGTCAATAATAAAGCCAAGCTTGATTAAAAAATCTAACTCAATTTTTTGACTGACCCAATTGAGTGTTACGGGTCTAAGCGATTAGACAGATTATCACAAGTCTGGCTAATCGAAAGTTTCAGCGAATGTCGATTTCGACATTTCGACATAATTCGCAATTCGTAAACGTGTCTAATTTAGATAAGTAGCAACGATAACGAGCGCGACGCAACGCACGTAAAAATAATTCAGTTGTAATATACATCGAGGTATGCTAATGAATCTTTTACGTGCATGACGTGTACAGCTAATGTGTTATTATTTCTTTCGATAAACTATAATAACTGCTGCTATTAGTGATTAGAAAACTAATAAGCTAACGAAGCACAATTACAGCGCATATCGACGGCGAAATTACAGTCAGCTGCGAGTCGATAAGGAAGATACGTGCATTGTCAGCTGTGGCTAACTGTCCGTCATAAGACTCAATCTTTCCCGCGATAAGGTAGATGCCTGCCTATAAAGATGTTCTCAGAGAGGAAAATGAAACAAATAATGAATAAAATAACGACGATAATAATAACAACAAACAAAATACACAACTCGCGAGGAAAGCACGGTTTTTCTTCGGCACGATTAAATCGGGATATCCGCGCGCTGTCCGCGGAGGATACACAATTTTCGTTTTATATACGAATCCGTGGACGGTGCGACGCATGACGATGGGCGTAACGACGGGTGTCACGGCGGAAGACGATTGAAAACGCTACAAGTAGGATGTCGACGATTTTCTGATTGGCCGCGAACGCGACGCGTGCACGATGGTTTAAGCGCGGTCTTTACATTATTTAATCCGGACGATAATATATAATTCTCGCACTCTCCACTCGGCCTTAATGCCTCAAATTTCGAACCGTCAACAGGAAACGCGAAAGCTCTCAAACTTATTATCCACTATAGTCAAGTGGAAAATAACGTCGATCACGCCAAGAGGCGATGCAAAATATAGCGGCAGGAAACTCGGACGAAAAATCCCATGGCACCTTACCGTTTGAGAGAGATGTTACTTTTTTCGCTGCTCGATCCGAATTTCTACTACGTGTGCGTCACAACTATT